GCTTTGGCACGCGGTGGACAGCCCTCCCCGTTTGCGGTGTTCCAGGTTGGAGGCCCTCCCCCTCATCACGGCGGACCAGTTCAGACTGGCGCCCCGATCCTACTCCAGACGTTCCGCGATAGGGCCCGATGGTTTCCACCCTCGCCACTATCAGTTCTTAGGGGATAGGTTTAGGCCGCCTCGTCCAGATCGTCGAGATGTCATGTATTCTCCTTCCTCAGCTTAGGGCCCTGATTGTGGCCATGATCCCGAAATCGGTCCCCGGGTTCCGCCCCATCGGCGTTTTCTCCAGCCCGTTCAGAATCTGGGGAAGAATCCGACGGCCCCTCGCGGCGGCCTGGGAAGAAGCCAATGACAGGCCCCACTGGGCTGCTGGGCGCAACCGAGCGGCGACAGACGTAGTCTGGAGGCAGGCTGTGGCTGCAGAGTGCTCCACGTCTTCAGGCAACGAAGCTGGGTCATTTTTTACGACGTGCTCGAGTATTACGAACAGATCCCTCTGGCAATGCTGGAGGCACGGGGCCACAGGCTTAATTTTCCCCCAGCGCTGATGGCCGTTTGCATGGCGGGTTACCGATCGGCCCGTTGCATGGTTCTTTGCGGTGTTGTCTCGTCGGCGCAATTTGCCGAGTATGGAGTGACAGCTGGATGCTCGATCGCGAGCACTATGATCAAAGTGTTCGGCGTTGAAGCTTTCGATTCTGTGGTTTTAAACCCTTCCACTACCCTGGATGTTTACATTGACGACTATGGCTTGAACTCCACTGGCTCCGCCGGCGGAGTTGTGCGAAGTCTCACGATTGGCGCCCAGACCCTGCAGCATGCGATCACGGTTCTGATGGGGGCCCATATTTCCTTGGAAAAAATCACGATGGTGCGCTCGAAGAAAAGCATTTCGGTTCGGCTTGGCCGTCTTTTCGGGGACCTGGTGGGGCCGCATCGGGATTCCACGGTCAACTTAGGCATTGACCACACCCCAGGGACCAGTAGGCGAGTCAAGGGCCGCAACGCTAAGGCCAAGCAGCGCATGAGTGCGGCGGCCCGCCGCACCAAGCGCTTAGTTCGTCAGCGAGGCGTGCTTGTCGCCCGTGCGACTAAGGTTTTTATCTCTGGGCCCTTGGCAGGGGCCCAGCACGGGCCGAGGTGCACGGCATGTCGAACGGAGAGGTGCTAAAGATCTGCAGGATGGCAGCTGCGACCATGAAACCTTCCTCGGGCTCCAGGCCCCTGACCATCCTCACGAGGCTCGAGAAGGACCCCGCTTGGTATGGTTCTATAGCACCTATCGTTCGCTACAGCAAGGAGTTGTGGCTTATGCAGGCAAAGGCCCCGTGGTGCTTAAGTTGGGATATGCTAAGATCTGCTTGGAAAACTGCACGGGACTTCCCCCCCCCCGCTCATGGAGATCTTGCAAGGGCCCGATCGGGGCTATGTTTCTTTCACTCCAGAGGCCGGGCTGGGGGATGGTGGACCCGTTTACCATGGTTGACGACCAGAACATCCCTATCCATCTTCCCTTTACCTCCCCCGCTCGTTTGAAGAAGTTCTTGAAAAGCTCGGTCTTAAGGGAGCTTGAAATTGAGGCGGGTGTCAAATGCAGCGACGGGGGCCGCCTCTGGTTTGACGCCGTGGAAGCCGCGCTGGCCTCCTCGAAGTTTTCCAGGAAAGAAAACTGATCCATCAAAGCTCTGACCTGCCAGGCCTTATGACCCCTTAGCTGGGCTGTTCAGGCTAGGCTGGCTATATAATCGATGATATCGGCCCGCTTTGCGGCCAACCTGGGGACACCGCCCCCCGCCGTTCGTGGCATTGCACCGTGCGCGGGGACATGCGAGTAGAAGTTGCCGGGGCCAGGCTTTTAGATCGCACCCGCTCTGACTTAGGCCAGGGTACAACGCCTGGTCTGGGATTTGTCTGTGAGACTGGATTATTTCCCCACCCTTCCGTAGGCCCCCCCGGGCCCATGAGCTTCGAGGAGGCTTTGGAGATTGTCGTTTTTTTTTCAGACCTTCCCCGAGGCCTACGAGGCCGAAGGACTAGAAGTTCCGCCCGTTGGGGAGAGGGCCATGAGAGGGGCTATATAGCTGGATGGCTCGTGCACGCGTCATGTGATCAAGGACTTTTCCAGAGCTGGTTGAGGTGCTGTGACGGTTGGTGATTCGGGACAGGTCCTTGCGCGCATGTATGGGGCTCTAGGTAGTTTGTTTCCCTCAGACCAGTGTGGCGGCTGAATTCGCTGCCCCCGCTTCAGCGGCCAGCGTGCTTAATGGCCCAGCAGAGTTCTTCAGTGACTGCCTAGCGGTAGTGAATCAGCATGGCAAGGGCAGAGAAGAGAGACTCTCTTTGCGCCGACCGCACAGTGGTCTGGTCATGCAATGCGACTTTTTCGCAGGCAGCTTGCTACGCGCTGTCACGAAGGCGAAGGCGCATCAGGAGGATAATGCAGATCTGCCTGCAGCCGAGCGCGCTCACATCATCGGCAACAATGCCGCGGATGAAGCGGCGAAGGCGGGCGCGCACCTTCATCCAGGTTTCAGTGACGAGGAGTTTAACAGCTTCTCCTTCCTCACCCCTGCATCGAGAGCTGTCACCAAGCTGGCGGCAAAAGTTTTGCACCTGTGGCCCCGCACGGACCTCACTGGAGTCGAGCGCACACCCGCTGCAGCTCGGCCTCAGAGGATGTCGGGACCCGCCCATGCCTGGAGTTGGGTTGGCAGTTCCTGGCAGTGCCCCACTTGCCTCAGGGTCCCCCGCAGCAATGGGAAGCCCCCCGACGGCGCATGCAGTAAGGTCCTGAAGGTGGACCCGTCATCGCTCCGCCATTTGGGCCACCGCTGCGCGGTCATTGATTTTTCGGACAGCAGCTTTGTGTGTGTCTGCCAGGCCTGCCATTGTTTTACCTCGGGCTTCCAGCCCCGAGGTCTCGCCAAACAATGCCTTGGACACCCGCCTAAGCGCAGCGAAGTTTTGTCCTGTTTGGGTCGTGGGCTACACCCTGACCACAAAAAGAAGGGAGTCCGCGCTGACATGGAGACGATCTTGCCGATAGGCAGGACGCCGACGTCAGGAGCCCTCGCGAGAGCTGGCCCTGCCGAGGATTTTCCTGCAACATCTTTGCTGCCTCGCCTTCGTGTGGGTGGGGGAGTTGGGGGTGAGCGGCTTGGGGGGATGGGAACCTCGGGCGCTTCCGCGTCGCCACCGCCATGCGCGTTCGGCTCTGATTTCGACGCGGAGGAAGAAGCCTCTCTGTCTCTACTTGCAGAGGCCGCGTGCCCCCTCTGCTGTCAGAGCGGGAGCTGCGGCCGCCGCCCCCTCACGCGAGAGAGGGTCTCTGCGAGGTAGGGCCCGTTCGGTAGCCAAGAGCCAGGCAAGGTCATCCCCCGCTCGGGTGGTGGGTGAAGAGTCTGGCTCTTCCGACTAACCGACTTGAGGGTCATCGAGGCTGGCTTGAGCGGTTTTCGCTCAGGCCGCCCACATTTCGCCCTATTTCTAGGGTCTCTGGCCGTGGATGTCAAAATCCTCCTCCACCTCCTCCTCCTCCTCCTCCTCCTCCTCCTCCTCCTCCTCCTCCTCCTGCTCCTCCTCCTCCTCCTCCTCCTCCTCCTCCTCCTCCTCTTCCTCCTCCTTCTCCTCCTCCTCCTCCTCCTCCTCCCCATGCCCCTTCTCCTTCCTCCTCCTCCCTCCTCCCTCCTCCCTCCTCCTCCTCCTCCTCCTCCTCTCCTCCTCCCTCCTCCTCCTCCTCCTCCTCCTCCTCCTCTCCTCCTCCTCCTCCTCCTCCTCCTCCTCCTCCTCCTCCTCCTCCTCCTCCTCCTCCTCCTCCTCCTCCGTTCCTCTTCCTCCTCCTCGGAGGAGGGGGAGGTGAAGGAGGAGGAGGGCCTCCAGACATCCGACGACGTGTGCGTTTTCAAGACGTGGGCTCCGGAGCCCTCGATGCCCCCACGGGGGCGGGCGGACGACCACCCGTGGATGGTCTTCGATGGCCGAAGAGCCCAGAGGTGGCCTCTGGACGCCGAAAGCGGCTAGCAGTACAGTTCGGATTTCTCCCAGAAGTCGGAGGTATCGGTCTCCTTTCTCCTCTTCCTCCTCCCCCTCCTCCTTCCTCCTCCTTGTCCTCCTCCTCCTCCTCTTCTCCTCCTCCTCCTGCTCCTCCTCCTCCTTTCCTCCTCCTCCGCCGCCTCATCCTCATCATCCTCATCCTCATCCTTATCTTCGTCTCCTCTGTATATTTGATCTTCGATGTTGACCGTTCCTTCGCCACCTCCTCCTCTCCTTATCGTTACAATCATGTGCCTCCTTCCTCCTCCCTCCTCCGAAGACGCTGTGGTTCTAGACGACACTGGTTGGCCTGGTCGATCCGGATCGATCCGATCCGATCCGATCTTCCTCCTCCCCCTCCTCCTATTCTTCCTCATCTTCTTCTCACTACACAATCAAACATAATATCTTCCTCCTCGTCCTCCCTCCTCCTCCTCCTCCTCCTCCTCCTCCTCGTCCCCATCCTCCTCCTCATCCATATCCTCCTCCTCCTCAGCCGCCTCATCCTCGTCCTCATTATTATCCTTATATTTGTCCTCATCATATTCCGTATCTTCGATCTTCGGTGATGACCGCTCCTCCTCCATGTCCTCCATCTCCTTATCATCGTCTTCCTACTCCTCCTCATCCCTCCTCCCTCCTCCGAAGGCGTTGTGGTTCCAGACGAGACAGTTGTCCTGGTCGCTCCAGATAGATCCGATCATATTCCATCCTTCTCCTGCCCCTCCTCCTCATCCTCTTCCTCATCCTCATCCTCCTTCTCCTCATCCTCTTCCCGCTACGCGATCAGGCAGAGTCTCTTCCTCCTCCACCTCCTCCTCCTCCTCCTCCTCTCTCCTCCTCCTTCTCTTCTTTCTCCCCGTCTCCTTTGTCCGGGTCGGACGACCGACGACTGGAGATGCGCACTGGGCGGGAAGCAGGAGCAGGGCCTCCTCGGGGGGCGGGTCGCGCGCGCGCGGGCACAGGGCGGCCGGCCTGGCGCCACCGGGGTCCGACAGCCTCAGGGCGGTGGGCGAGCTCCAGCGGGCAGTCATCGCCAAGGATCGAAGGGGGGGCCTCAGACCATGCTCGAAAAATGACGCAGGAAGACAGGGTCTAGGGCTCGGGGCGTGATTTGTTTTACGATATTGCAATGTTTCGCTACGTCGGATCTCAGGGGACCCCTCATGCCATCATCGCCAAGGATCGAGGTCCCTGGCGCAGGCCAGATACGGTCTGTCCGTGTCTGGAGGCTTCTCGTGGCTGGATCCGCTTCGAAACCCTGGCCGGAACGCGCCGCTGGCCAGGTCTTGGGGCCGATGTTTGAGCCTCGAAGCCAGGGACCCCGACCCCCCCCACCACCTCGTGAAAAAGGCACGGCGAGAGGTGCTCGATGCTTTCGGCACCTGGGGCTCTTCCTGGGCTTCCCAGCCGTCAGAGAGAGGCTCAAGACGGCAAGCCGGTCCCTCCTCCTCCTCCTCCTCCTCCTCCTCCTCCTCCTCCTCCTCCTCCTCCTCCTCCTCCTCCTCCTCCTCCCCCTCCCTCAAGCAACTTGGGCTCGAGCGGGTGAGGGGCCCCAGGAGGCCCACTTGCTCTCTTGAGTTCGTCCCTGGGCTTCCCAGTAGCGCTTGAGGGACTGTGCCTTTTCTGCGTGCCAGCCAGGAAGAGGCACCGACCAACACAGGGACAGAAGCAATGGCGGGCGGCCACCAGCACCAGCAGCTGTGGACCAGATGCGCGCAGTGCCAGACATGTGAATGGAATGGGGTTCTGGCCCGCCGCCACAACATCTGCAACGGATGTGGCAACGAGGTCAAGCCGTTCGAGAAGAAGAGGAGACCGAGGCGGGTGCAGTTCGTGGATGAGTATGGCGACAGCGATGCCGACGGCTTCTACGACGCCACCAGCGGCAGCGAGAGCGAGCGCCCGCAGCCACGGCGCCCAGGCATCTTGAAGGGCCCCGTGGGGAGCGGGCTGGGAGGCGGCAAGGGCGGCAAGGGGGGCAAGTCCGTGAAGAGCCTCCTGGAGCAGGCCCTTGCAGCAGCCACCGACCCCACGCTCAAGGCGGACCTCCAGGCGCAGCTGGACAAGCTCGCCAAGGAGGAGAGCGGGCGGGAGGCCGCCAAGACCACGCCCGCAGAGGCCCTACGCAGGGCCGACGGGGCGTGGAGGAATGCGGAGCACCTCCACAGCCAGGCGGTCAGCAACGTCATTCGCCTCCGCAGCAATCTGGCAGCAGCGGAGGCGAAGGAGAGGACGGCGGCCATCCACCTGGCCGAGACCACCGAGGCCAAGCGAGCTGCAGCCACGGCATTGGCCAAGGCCGAGGGGGTCACCGAGGCCAAGACCAGCTCCGATGGCGAGAAGAAGATCATCTCCCTCGAGTGGGACGACAGCTTCTTCACGAACCTGGCGGCGCTGGACGCCACGGACGCGGAGAAGAAGGCCCTAGAGGAGCTCCGAGGCCAACTGCAGGGCGCCAAGGAGACTCTCACGGGCAAGGAGGCCGAGATCCAGAAGTGGTTGGAGGCCATGCAGCAGCATAGGCGCACCATCGAGGAGCGGGCGAAGAAGAAGAGACGAGCACCTGCTGACGGCGCCCCTGAGGAGGCGGCCACGGCGGACGGCGGCGGGGGCCAGGGGGCACCTCCCGCCGCGGCGGCATCGGCGGCAGGGAACTCCACAGGCGGCGGCGGCGGGGCGGCGGCGGCAGCCGAACCTTCAGACGCCGTCAAGGCGGAGGCGGAGAGGCTGTCTGCGGCCAAGTTCCTAGCGCAGCAGACGGTGACGAAGGCGAAGGGCAAGGGCACCGCCAGTGGTGATGCAGCTGGGGCGCCTGCAGCTCCCTCAGCTTGACGGTGTCGAACGGGGACCCCTCGGACCCACAAGACCGAGGGGGTGGGCTGTGACGAAGGGGAATGCACTAGGCTATTCTATTCGAACGTCACATGCCTAACGGACAAGGTATGGAAGTACGTACAGGAGCACGTGGGAGCCTACGACCACTGGGTCATGACTGAGACTCATATTCATCGCGAGTCGGACGTCAAGAAGTGGACAAAGGCAAGCCGAGCTCTCAACCTCCGCATGATCATGAATTCGGCTCGCCGCACCTCGAAGGTAGTGTCCAAGGCTAGAGAGGCACACTCGAACGAGGGAGGCGAGATGATTTTGTCCCGCAAACACTTACAGATCCAGCAGCTGCCCGAGGCGAGGGCGGCCGCCAAGTACCTCAAGGCGCCGAAGCAGTCGGCCTACGACGGATTCTGCCCAGTGATACTGCAGCAGCACAGCTACGCGATCGTGGTGGTCGCCCTGTACGCGCTGCCGTCCATCAAGATGACGGGCAGGAACATCGAGAGATTCAACCGACTCGGAGGGCTACTACGTTCACTTCGAGTCCCGTGGCTGATCATCGGCGACTTCAACATGACGCCAGACGAGCTCATGCGCACAGCCTTCCACAGAGTGACGGGAGGCCACGTGCGAGTACCAGCTGGAGTTGAGGGCACCTGTGCCCAGAAAAAAGGACCTGACACAATGATCGACTTTGTCTATATGAGCGCTGCCGCGTCCTCATTCATCCATAGTCTGGAAGTAGTCAGAAGTGTCCCGTGGAAGCCTCATCTCGGGCTAGCCTTGAGCCTACGTGCTTCAGGCCAGACCCTTAGGACGCGTGAGATTTCTCTGCCCCCGAAGTTGCCCCAACTCCCGAGGCCCCGGTGTGAGCCCACTCCTGGATCTAAGTCCAGCCAGGCCAGGTCCGCTGCGGCTGTTAGACGCCAGGAAGCTCACGCCAAGAGGGTCGAGGGGTTCCAGGAGGCCTTCGGGGACGTTTTGGAGCCTCCCGCACAAACAGGGACTGCCCGTCCCCAGGTGATCGAGGAGGCCGATCAGGATCCTGATCTGGACCACGATTTTTTTGCTTTCCCAGAGGACGAGGAGGACCCCTGGGCCCACGAATTTAATTTTTGTCCTGACTCACACCTAGGTGGCGAGCTGTTGTCCGATGGATCGGGCGCGGTCGGCGCATCGGCCGTCGGGGACAAAAAGCCCGATACAGTCAATGTGAGTGTCAGTGTCAATTCGTCGGTATGCGAGGCCCAACCCCTTCCCCCCTCGGCGGTTTCAAGTAACCCCGTTGTTAGCAGCAAAGATGGTAATAGTAGTGCTCAGTTGCATCGCCCCGACCCCCCCCAGCAGGTAGCTCCCTCGCGCCCCGTGGTCGAAGATGTGCCCGACCCTGCGTTTGAAATTCCAGCGTCCACGTGGGCCGAGGCTCGACTGCAGGTGGGCTTTCGGTCGGGAGCGGATGCCGTGGCGAGTCTCCCCCCTTTCCTGTCCTCCTCCGTAGCCTTTTCGCTCGAACCCGCTCGCGGGAAGCTCCTCACGGGGCAGTACGCGACTTGGGTCACGGCGGTCGAGCAGGCTTTCCATACTCACCATCATGTCAGGCCCCCTGCTGGGCCCACGCGCGCCGTGGGGCCCAGGATCCATGAGAAGCCCATGAGGGTCACGGCTCACGTGCGGGAGCTCGCCCTTCATGATCAACGTAGCCAGTGGTGGACTCGCGCCCACACGGTGCTCGCTGGAGTCCTCAGGCACCAGAGCAGGGACAACGGCCAGCGCCAGCAGCAGGAGCACGGCAAGGCCAGCACCCACCTACGGCAGTCCAGGCCTGAAGGGGTGCATAGCCTTCTGAACGCGGGCCGTGAGGCCCCGTGGGACCAGTGGTTGGCTGTCCTCGGCGACCCGAGTCGGCTGTCGACGCCAGTGCTGGAGAACTATGTCTTGGCAGCAAAGCGGGTGGCCAGCAGGGCTCAGCGTGCTGCAGTACACGAGTCGATCTCCAGCTTTAAGACCTTTGTGACGCGACCAGAGGCTGTGGGCATCCTCCACAAGTCACTGAAGGTGAACCCACTACCGCCGAGCGAGCTGGAGGTGGGGGAGCGCACCATCGTTCACCCAGCCGACATCATGGAGCACAAGGCGGTGACCTTCAAGCGGATGCGGGCCCCACGGCCCCCCGATGTCAGCGAGATTACGGAAGTGTTTCGTCTCATTCGAGAGGCGGCCCAGGGCGAGGAGTTTCCTGAGCTTACCCCAGACCTGGTCTACGCCAGCGCCAAGGCCATGAAGGCTAAGGCAGGGCTGGGGGTGGACGTCCTGAGCCCAGTCGACTTCCAACGCCTCCCCCGTGAGGCCATCGAGGAATTCACAGATATTTTGAAGAATGCAGAAGCCCTGCTCGCTTGGCCAGCCCAGACTCAGCTCATTGTGACCTTCTTGACTCCCAAGAAATCCCAGGGAGACAGAGGCATAGGTATGATATCTATGATGGGCCGCCTCTGGTCCCACATCAGGGAACCTATAGTGAAGCAATGGAGCAAAGATCAAGAACAGGCATGGGATGCCGCAGTTGCTGGGAATAGTTGTTTGCGTGAAGCATATCTTCATGCCATTGACGAGGAAGTTGCGCACTGGATGCGAATGGAGTTCGGGCAAGGTTTGCTTGACATTCAAGAATTTTACGACTCAATACCTTGGCTGCCCCTGGTGAGGGCGGCTTTGAGGCTTCACTTTCCACCAGTCATCTTATATTTGGAGCTCCTCCAGTGCATAACGATGCGGACGTTGTCACAGGAAGGAGCTGTGTGCACACCCTTCGAGCCCTGCCAGTCAGTCATCCAGGGGCTGCGAGGGGGAACCAGATTCGCCAAGATACTCACCCATTTCGTGATGCAGGTGGTGGTTACGGCGACGCCCAGGATGAACCATCGAGTTTGGATAGATGATATATGCCAGAAGATCACGGGCTCACGCCAGGCTGTCAGGGCTAACCTTATACGCGGAGTTGTGAAGGCGGGCCAGGAGCTAGCCAAGGCAGGCCTCAAGTTGGCCAAGAAGTCTGTGATCATGTGCACGAATCCCGACGACGCCCGCGCTGTGGCCAGGGCCGCCAGGCTCAAGGGTTTCCCAGTCAGGGCCATGGCGCAGGCGCCGTACTTGGGGGTGGACTTCAGCTGCGGCAAGCTGGGACGTGCCACCAGGACGCAGAGACAGATCAAGCACGGAGCGATGAACGAGAAGGTGAGGAGATTCAGCCGAGCTACTCGACGGTATGGGATTACGACGCGGTTGGAGCGCAATGGCTGCCAACCTGCGGGCTCCTACGGCTTCGAGGTGCACGGGATGTTCGGCCACCAGCTGACAACCCATCGCCGCCGACTCGGTCAGACCTGTGCTGCTGCCACAAGAGGCCGATGCCTCACTACACTCCTGGACCTGAGAGCGCCAGGAGGGGACCCTGCCGTGGCGATGCCAGCCAAGACCGTGGACATGTGGCTAAGCGTCTGGCAGCAGCAACCAGGTTTGCGCCAGCGAGTACGACAAGTATGGCATCATGTCCGAGACCACCTATCCCAGCTGGATCCCCAACATCAGGTGCGTGCAGTGCGTGGCCCAGTGTCCGCAGTAATCCTCACCCTCCTCCGCATCAAGTGGAACCCTGAGGATGTGGACACGTGGTCGTACACTACGCCCACGGGGTCGGAGCAATGGCAATTTCCCGACGCCATATACACGGGCAATAAGTTTCTCGACACGCACCGTGAGCTGTTGAAGGATGTACGTCAGTCGGCGGCCCAGGTGGTATGGACCGCGGCTGCCAAGCACTACTGCGGAGGTGGAGTCGAGCAGGGAGTTGACAATCGGTCATTTCGGTTGTTGATCAAACAAGTCGGGCAACTCCCACACGGTGTGCGTCTCACTGAGCTGCTGATCAATATTGCCACAGGTGGATACTGGACGCGACAGAGGCGATATGATGAATTGAAGGGCTATAAGGGCAGCAACTTGTGTGACCGCTGCCGAGAGGCACCAGAGACGGCCAAGCACAGGTTCTGGCAGTGTAGCAAGAACGTACAGGCCGCGCCATATGAACGCTCAGAGTCTCTGGTTCCAGCAGCGATGGCTCAGACGGACGCCACCGAGTGCTTCTGGCTACGTGGACTGCCACCGACCCAGTGGACCCAGACCCCGCCCCCACCGAAGGACACGGTCCTTGAGTTCACGGGCATCAACGAGTTGTCCGAAGGGATCTTTGGGGCGGGGAGCGCTGAGTCTCCAGTCGAGATCTTCGGGGACGCCAGTGGAGGACCAGATGCGAGCATCAGCGATTTCATGAGGATTGGAGTTGCCATAGTATGCGTAGCCAGCCTACTGCCTGAGATCAACCTACATGGTGCAGTCTTCGGCCAGCTGGGTGGCCCACGCCAAGTGGTGGCGAGGGGAGAGCTCTACTCCCTGTATCTCGCCCTCTGGTGCACCACCAGGTTTCTCACCTACGTGACGGACTGTGAATATGTGGCGGCGGGCTGGTACTCCCAAGCCTACAAGAACCCAGCAGGTGAGGACGCCGACCTATGGAAGCTCATCGGGGACCTGATGAGCTCACGCCGCCACGCCGAGGTGACGGTGCTCTGGACGCCGTCTCACAGCACGGCCCAGGACGTCGCAGCCCAGAAGGTGAACAGGTACCTCGTCATAGGCAACCTGCTCGCCGACGAGTTCGCGGGCTGCGCAGCGGCCAGAGCCAGGCTGCCCGCCGAGGTCCGCCAACCCATCCTGCTGGCCGAGCGGAGGGCGTACCTCGTCCGCATGAGGCTCCTCCGAGCCACGCTGGACAGCATTGCGGCCAGCCAGGAGACTGAGAGAAGGGAAAGGGACGCCGCCCGAGGCCCTGGGAGCCCCTCTGAGGTCCCGCCTCCCCCCGCCCCTCCCCCTCCTCCGCCTCCCGCTGCTGCCACTGTTGCTGCCCTCGTTTCCAGGCACCGTCTGGCCGACTGCGGCCGACGGTGCCTCTCTTGTTTTGGTTCTGCAACCCTCGCCACCACCCAGGAATTCGTCGAATCTGAATGTCCTAGGTTGTACAATGTTGATGGGGTCCTGTTTTCGCCGTTAAAGGGGGCGCGAATCCATATCGCGGGGGGTTGGGCCCACACTACGCATACCCTGAATGTTCACCCGACCCTTCAGGTTTGGTTTTGCACCGAGTGTGGGGGCACCGCGGATAAGGTTCTGCGATCTCTTAAAGGCCCTTGTAGTAAGAGGAAGTCCGCCACGGGGCAAGAGTACCTTGACAGAATTGCTAGGGGGTTACATCCCAAAGTTCTGAGCCGAGCTGAGCAAGCTCGGCGTTCGAATGCTCGTTTGTCCAGGCCTTCCTAAGACCCGAACCTGCTGCGCAGCGGAGTCCACTCCACTCCACTCCACTCCTCCTCCAGGGTCCAGCAGACCTCCGGGGGGGGCCCACGGTCCTGCAAGAGTCACGACGCCAGGGCTTTGCCTGGAGAGGAGGGAGGGGATTTTGAGGAGGGCTCGAGGGTGAGAGCGGAGACGGTCGCGGGGGAGCAGAAGAGGGAGGGGGCCGAGGCGCATTGAGGAGGAAGATCATTTTGGGGAGGAGAGGGAGGAGGAGGAGGAGGAGGAGGAGGAGGAGGAGGAGGAGGAGGAGGAGGAGGAGAGAGGAGGAGGAGGAGGAGGAGGAGGAGGAGGAGGAGGAGGAGAGGGAGGAGGGAGGAGGAGGAGAGAGGAGGAGGAGGAGGAAGGAGGAGGAGGAGGAGGAGGAGGAGGAGAAAAATAAAAAGGAAAAGAAGGGAAGCACCGAGGACCTTTTGGACCCGTTCGGCCAGTCCCGAGGCGCCCGCAGCCAGGCACCCGCACCTCGACTCGCCGCCACTTGGGGCCCAGGAGCTGCCGCCCCGAAGCCACGCGGCCGTGCTGCGCTCAAGCGGGGCGCACCCCACGGACGACGGGGGCCAGCGCGCCGCCGCCCACGCCGTCCCAGCGGCCACGCGGCGCACGGCGTTCGTGCTGCTTTGCCGCCAGGGGGGGGGCACCGCCGCCGCTGCCACGTGGGCCCTGCCACGCTGGCACAGTGGATGTCCAGCGGCGATAGGGGGAGCCGAATTCGATGAGGATGCGCGGTTACAGGTGCGCAGAGCCTCGAGAAGCACCCGCATCTTTGATTCTCACTCTGGAGAGAAGCATCGGTTTCCAGGAACGCCATCCAGTATTTGGCCCACTGCAGTCTGCCAGGCTGGTTCGTTCAAGGTCGGTCCCATGTTTGCTCAAGGTGGTGCTGGAGAGTCGGCCCCATGATTCTCGGGTTACTCTTGCATTCAACGAGTCCTCGAGGGGAGGACGAGGGTGAGGGGCTGAGCCGTCCACAGTTCGGACGATTCGGCTATGTGTCCAAATGCCTTACGCACTCTACCAGATCGGCGCATTCGACTACGCATTCCCAGGGACGACCCATTTCGCCCACGGTTGGCGCTTGGTTCGGTGACTTGATGATGCAGACGATCGATCGATCGATCTGCGACTGCGGGGAATGAGGACTACGTCGATGACGAGTACAGTGGAGGAAACGGGGGGCTGGGAGGACGATAACGACGACCGACGACGGCGGCGGGGACGCTTCGAGGGCGACAGAGGGGAAGCAGGATCGGGAGGCGATGGGTCGGGGAGGGGAAGGGGGAGCAGGAGGAGGAGGAGGAGGAGGAGGAGGAGGAGGAGGAGGAGGAGAGGGACGAGAGCAGCGACGAGGAGGCGAGAGGCGGGGGGGAGGAGAAGGGATCCGCCCCACGGGGGGCACCGCACTGGCCGCCCTGGCCACAGGGGAGGAGAAGGGATGCACATGGCCGCTCTTGGGGCCTGGTGGCCCGGGGGGGGGGCATTTTTGCGGGAAGGGGGGGGAGGAGCAGGGCCCGAGTAAGGGAGAGCACGACGAGAAGGACGCAGGAGGGGAGGCGGAGGAGGAGAGGGGCGACGACGACGACGACGACGACGTCGACGACGACGACGACGACGACGACGACGACGACGACGACGACGACGACGACGACGACGACGACGACGGCGGCGGCGGCGGCGGCGGCGGCGGCGGCGGCGGCGGCGGCACAGTCGACCTCGCCCCGCCGAGGACCAGCTCGTCGCGCGCCTGCAGCGGGAACTGCAGGACCTGGCGGCCAAGGAGGACACCCCCCGGCAGCCGATGGCGGCCTCCGCGGCCTCACCGCAGCCTCGGGCGGCCCTGGGGCGACGGCGACCGCGGCCACGACGGCCACCAGCCACGACGACCGCCACGACGACGACGACGACGACGACAGCGGGAGCGGAGGGGGAGGGGGAGGCGCAGTGTGGAGGAGTAGTGTGGAGGAGGAGGAGGAGGAGGAGGAGGAGGAGGAGGAGGAGGGAGGAGGAGGAAGAGGAGGAGGAGGAGGAGGAGGAGGAGGAGGAGTAATTAGGAGGAGGAGGAGGAGCGAGAAGGAGGAGGAGCGAGGAGGAGCGAGGATCAGGCGATCGCAAACATGGATTAAGCGGGCGTGGGTTAGCGACGTGTCCCGTTTCCATGGGAAATCGCAGATTCCCGCCGCCGAACGAGGCGGCACCGGCGGCACTTGTGGGAGGGCACCTCCCCCGATCCATGGATTTGCCGACCGCGCGCCAAATCCATGCATCGCTAATCCATGTTTGCGCACCCCCGAGAGGATGATGAGGAGGAGGAGGAGGCCAGCATACTGTGGTGTGTCATCTCCTTGTCTTGTTGTACCTTTCGCCGCTGAGCCCACTGCTGGTCCCATGGGTGTTGTCGTGTCCGTGGAGCCGTAGCTCCGCTACCGATATCAACTACTCGATCGCACTCGAAGTCGTCGAGCCTCTCGCGATTCGGATGGCAGATCATGCCCAAGCGCCCTGAGGCCTTCCGATTCGGATCAGCCGAACCAGCGTCAGATCAGGAAAGCGCGTGCTAGACATGATTGCTTTGCTGTGTCTGCTGCTATACGTGCTCTGCTGTAAGGAACGCAGGGGAGGATAAGCTCGAGCATCTTATGTCCGAACACCCCCCAGAACATACAATGTATGGAGCATAACGTTTCCCCCCACGCACACAAACCTTCTTATTACTATTAGTTCCCTCCTCCTCTCCCTCCTCCTCCGTAGCCATGTTAGCTCGAGCCATTGTGGCGCAAAACGGCTAGCGGTGTGTTGTTTTCTGTCTCTGCATGATCGTACAGCATGCCCCTTGCGATGGACAGTGTTTATGTTGTTCTGTCTTGTCTGAATGAGCGACTGCTTCGGCGTATTTCCAAATATTCCGACCAACGAAATTATAGGTTTCAGATGACAGGTGCAGTGCAAAATGTGGTCTTCACCACGGTGTGTAAAAGACGGATTCGTCAGGTGGCAATTGTTGTGCAAGTGGAGCGTCATGTTACCGTCGTTTACCGAGCCCTGGTCTAACCAATTCCTTCGAGATGTTGGGGAACGGCTTCAGAAGGCGTGTCCTGATCGAGCTGAATATGTGTCTTGCCTGTGTGCGCCTCGATATGCATGCAGCGAAGTTCGGTCGTGAGAAGGCCGGTTTCAATTTCGGCACAGAGGCGCCCGCCTTCACGCCGTGTGCCGCACAGCTGCCACGGCGAGCACCGAGTTCCGAACTGCTCCATGATGCTCAGCGTATCCATGATGTCATCTGTGCAGCTCGCTGCTTACCATGGTCTTGTGGGTGGCATGAGCAACACGATCGCGACTCGCCAGGGCAAATTTGACCGATATACTTCGTCAGGGAGCGGTCCCGGCGGACTGTGCGGATGCGTCCGAGGAGAGCCCGAGCCCCGACAATGGGTGCCAGCGATGCCAGCGACGAGGAGGTTGGGAAGGCGTTGCTGGGCTCCTCGCATTCTTCAGATTGGTCTTGCAAAAAACCCTGGATTGCAAAAAAACGAAGGATTGCAATCCTTCGTTTTTTGCAATCCTTGTTTTTGTTGCAATCCTTCGAGTGTTTTGCAATCCTTCGTTGCAATCCGTAGTTCCCCATGTCATCATAATCGGGAGCAGACTCATGTGTTTGATGGAGATGTCGATGCCCAAGCTACGTCGGACAGCTGAGGTAATCAGGGGTTCTCAGACCTCTGACGCTCGCCAGCGCACTCGGGAGCAGATTGGCGATCGGTTGGAGCGCAGTGTTAGCGATGTGTCTGATGAGTCTGGCCGCATTGACGGCAAGTGCCAGAAACTGTATCAGTCCTTGGCGCAGTTGGTCGCTGAAGCGGTGAGCAAGCTTGTGCCCCCCATGCTCAGATCATTGAATGCCCCTACTCTTGAGACTCTCGACCTGCTGATGACGCAACTTACCACTCCGCTGGCGCAGATTAGAGGGCTTCAGGCTCAGATTGATGAGTTGGACACCTCGGTCAAAGGCGCAAGCGTCAAGGTGCCTTCCCGCGCGCGTTCGTCTTCTACCGTCAGCCCCGCGCCGCCTACCGCTGATGCCTGTGGCCGCGTCTGCAAGAATGGCCAGCGTTGCCACCGCCTGGACTGTGTATTTCTGCACCCCGACTTTTTTGTTGTTTTTGTTACACAAAAACAAAACAACGGCGGCAACGATGGCGGTCCTGCGCACTTGGCATGTTGTGCTACCCTACGACCTGCCCCCGCCGCGGGCAGGGGCGCCAGGGCACCAACCACGATGCACGCGCGCGCCCCCACCGTGCAATCACTGGTGGTGCCACCGGAAACTGGGCCCGCTTTCAAAAGAAAAAATAGATCTGCACCCGCCGCCGCCGCCGCTGCCGCTGCCGTCTGTCCGTCCGTCAAAATAGTCCAAAGGCTGGGGGGTATTGTGGGGGTATTGATTGACCTTTTTGGGGTAGTATTTTTTTATTGTTCGTCGAAAATCCCACTGTAGGGGGGCACGCCCGACATAAGAGTACGCTCGGCTTCAGCACTTGGCGCTGATTGGCGGTGCCCGCGCCGCGGCCGTGTGTTCTTCGCTGGTGGTGCCTGGTGCTTCGCCTGCTCCACTGAGCCGGCCGTTGCCTCGCAGACTCGCTCTTCGTCTCCACCTTGATCCTGTGGTGCTCGTTTCGTGTTATTATTGTTCAAGGGGTGTTCGCATTCGCTGACCCTCCCCTTCGCGGAGTGCGGAAGTCCTTCGCGTCACGGAGGGACTCGTCTCTACGCTCGTAGTCTCCCCCTCCTCCTCCTCCTCCTCCTCCTCCTCCTCCTCCTCCTCCTCCTCCTCCTCCTCATCATCATCCTCATCCTCATCCTCCTCCCCCTCCTCCTCCTCCTTCGCCTTCTCCTCCTCCTCACCCTCATCACATAATCGGCCCTTCCCCCTCCTCCTCCCCTTTCCTCCCCTCCTCCCCCACGCGTGCCTCCCTCCTCCTCCTCCTCCTCCTCCTCCTCCTCCTTCTCATCCTACTCATCCTTCTCCGCCTCCGTCTCCTCCTCCTCCTCTTCCCCACCCGTTTTCTGTCTCCTCCTCATCCCCGCTTCCATCCCTCCTCCTCTCTCCGAAATGTCCTATCATCCTCCGCCTCCTCCTTCTCCTCCTTCCCTTTGTCCGACACCACTCCTCCCCCCCTGTTTCCAACACTCTCTTCCGCCCCGTCCTCCGTTTCCACATTCCCTTACCCACCTCAGTCGACTCCGATTCCGACGACGACGCCGGCTACTCTTCCTCCTCCTCTTCCCTCTCTTCATCCTCCTCCTCCTCCTCCTCTTCCTCCTCCTCTTCCTCCTCCTCCTCTTCTTCCTCGTCGTGATCCTCCTCCTCGTCCACAACGTCATCATCATCATCGTCATCAGCAGCATCATCATCATTATCAGCATCATCATCGTCATCGTCATCATCATCAGCAGCATCGTCATCGTCATCCTCATCATCCTCATCGTCATCATCATCAACCACAACCACATCATCATCATCATCATCAGCAGCAGCAGCAGCAGCAGCAGCATCATCATCATCATCATCATCATCATCATCATCATCATCATCATCAACATCAACATCAACATCAACATCAACATCAACATCAACATCAACAATCAGCATCATCATCCTCATCCTCACCCACTCCCCCCGCCTCCGACAAGACACGACGACGACGACGACGACGACGACGACGACGACGACGACGCTTCCAGCGACGACAGCATGGACGACGCGCTGGCGGTGGCAGCGGCGACCCCGGACGACCTCCGACGACGTCGTCCACCTCTGGAGATCCTCGCGGCATGCTCCTGGCACCGCGCGCGCACCCAGAGGCGGCGACCCCCTCCCCAGGTGTCCGCGGCCCGGCCACGGACCCGTGCCATGCGGACCCCGGGGCCCGGCCACGGGCCCACCAGGGAGGCCCAGGGCGAAGAAGGCACCCGCCGGCGGCAAGGACAGAATCGTGAGGAGGAGGAGGAGGAGGAGGAGGAGGAGGAGGAGGAAGAGAGGAAGGAGAGAGGAAGGAAGGGAGGAGATGGAGGGAGGAGGAGGGAGGGAGGGAGGGGAGGAGGGGAGAAGGAGAGGGGGGAGGAGGGGGGGAGGGGAGGACGAGGACGAGGACGAAGAGGAGGGGGGGAGGAGGAGGAGGAAAGGAGGAGACGGAGGAGGAGGAGAGGAGGGGGTGGAGGAAGATGTGAGGGGAGGAGAAGGAGGTAGGGGTAGGAGGATGAGGAGGAGAGGAGGTCGAAAAGGAGGAGGAGGAGGACGAGGAGGAGGAGGGAGGAAGAAGGAGGAGGAGGAGGACGGAGAAGAAGGAAGGAGAGGAAGGAGGAGGAGGAGAGGGAGGAGGAGGAGGAGGAGGAGGAGGAGGAGGAGGAGGAGGAGGAGGATGGAGAGCTCATCGTCGGAGATCTGGGCCCAGACTTAAGGTCGGACATGTCCTCCTACGGGCGGATGTTGGGTGAAAATTAGCACAATGGCCCAAGAAAGGTTCAGCAGTAGCGCGAAGTAGTCCAGAGATCGTCCGCCGACGATGTTCGCACTATTTCTGAAGCATCCTCCTGTAGTGTAGTCACCACCCACCAAACAACCACCCCAACCCAACCCGAAGGCCTCAATTTGCCCTCCATTTCCAGAGCGGGGGGGGGGCGGGGAACATTGAAAAAACGCATGTAGCCCGTACCCCCCCCCCCACCCCCCCCCAAACCGAGATCCGGTGTCACCTTCGAGCTTCGGGTTGGGTCGGGGGGGTCTGGCAGGAAATCTGCAAAGGGCCGTGCCAGACGGAAGCCAGACGGCGGCGTCGATCGGACGCCCTGCGCTCGGCGCCGACGTCGAGCGAGGAGGAGGAGGAGGAGGGGAGGAGGGAAAAAAAAAGGAGGAGGAAAAAAAGAGGAATAAGACGGAGAGCGACCGCACGGGGGAGGGGGAGGGGGGAGAAAATGAGGAGGAGTCTTGAGGAGGAGAGCAGGAGGAGGAGGCAGAGGAGGGGGAGCAGGGGAGGATGGGAGGAGGAGGAGGAGGAGGGAGGAGAGGAGGCGGGGAGGAGGAGAGGAGGAGAGGAGGAGGGGGAGGAGGAGGAGGAGGAGGAGGGGGAGGAGGAGGAGGAGGGAGGAGGAGGAGGAGGAGGAGGAGGGGAGGAGGGGGAGGAGGAGGAGGAGGAGGAGGAGGAGGAGCCCCCGGCGGGTGCCCGGGAGGAGCCCGCCGCCCTGCGGCGCGGCGTGCGCTCGTGCGCCGGCCGCCTCGCCGACGCCTGGGCCGGCGGGCTCGCGGGGCGGGCCGCAGCGCAGGCCCGGCAGGGTCTCGCTTCGAGCCATCCGCTTCGGTTCGCTTCGGCTTCGATTCCGACTCCCAGACACGATCGCGTCGCAAAACAAAACACAAAAAAATCTGGGCGGGTGGGTTTGGGCCAGCTTCGGCTCCGGGCGGCACTCGCTGGGCCCCGGGGCCGCCAAAACACGGCGCAGGACGACAAACCGGTCGCGGGGAAAGGGTCGGGATTCCCAGGGAGGCCGTCCTGAAAAAATCAGGACGTCGCACGTCTGGGATTCGAGTCTCGAAGAAGAAAGAACGGCATCAACATAGACGCTCGGCGCTCCGCGCGGATTTCTTGGACCCGCGTTGGGCCCCCCTGGCGGCGCCTCCGGCGCCGCCCCTGGCGCGCTCCGCGCGCCAGGGAGGGGGGTCCATCGCGGATGCCAGAAATCCGCGCGGAGCGCCAAAAGTTTGTGTTCATGGCGTTTTTTCTTCTGGATTCGATTTGGGGTTCCGATGTGGGCTCCGATCCTACGAGCCTGACGATTTCTGCCGATTCGACTCCTCCCGACTCGGCTGCCGATTTCCGCCGAGCCAAGTCGGATTGTTGGTCCAGCTTGTCGATTCGATGCGGGGCTCTCCTGCCGCCAGCGAAGGCGGGCCCTCGGGGGCACCGTTATCTGGGGCTCCCGGGTGGGGTCCGAGTAGATGGGGTCGCGGCTCAAGAGACGGGGGTCCCGATGTGCACTGGCCCGGGCTTGGGAGCAGGATCCTGCAGGATCCTGCGAGATCTTGCAGGACCCTGCAGGTCCTGACTGACCCGGGTGAGGACTGACCCGGGTCAGTGCGTCCCCGCTGGGGTCGGAGGATCGCGCCGCATCGCCGATGCATCGGCGATGCTGCTCAATGTGGGTCCCGATGTTCTCCACGCCGACGGCGCCGATTCAGGCCAGCGGCGCTGATGTATCACTGGCGTCGCCGATGCATCGCCGATGCATCGTCGATGCATCGGCAATGCTGCCCAACTCTCCGACCCCGTCTACTCGGATCCCGTCTGGGATGGGCCCTGGGGAGCAAGGTCAGGGGAAACTGGCTCAGGGGGGAACATATCGACCCCCAATCGCCCATTAATCTCGGACGATGCGTTTTTTTAATTCTTGTGTTTTTACTCGGTGTCGGCCCCTGGGACCCGTTTTCGGGTCCCAGGACAATCGGGGTAAGAAATTGCCGAGGCCCGTGTCGGGCCCCAGGGCTGTCGAAAGTCGATCCGGGAAGAGGTGGCCAGGATGGACCACTGGAGGGACCTATGTTGAGCGGAGTTGATGAGGATGTGTAGGTTCGAGGATCGAGGGTTATGGTCGTGGAGCGTTTCCCGTTTTTTCCCAAGGGCCTCGAGGAGCTTCTCGTCGCCAAAACGCACCCCTGGACAGGTCTTGGTGCCGATTTCGGACTGGGCTAGTCCCAGCCATTTAAGACTTTGGTGATGATGATGCTGATGATGATGATGATGATGATGATGCTGATGCTGATGCTGATGCTGATGATGGTGATGGTGATGGTGATGGTGGTGGTGATGGTTATGGTGATGGTGATGGTGGTGATGATGATAATGCTGATGATGATTCTGATGATGATGGTGGTGTTGATGATGACGATGATGATGGTGATAATGAAACGATGATGATGATGATGATGATGGTGGTGGTGGTGGTGGTGATGATGGTGATGGCGATGGTGATGGTGATGGTGATGATGATGATGACGACGATGCTATACATGTTCGTTTGTTTTAGACATGTGTCCAGAGGCCACTGCATTCGGACCCCAGGACCATCAGAAAATTATCCAGCATGAAAAAGTGCTCCAGCGAAGAGGCCAAGAGCTCTGGGGCCCACGGGCCCGAAAAAAAGGATGGCGCCGGGGATACCCGCGAGGGAGCACGGAGGAGCTTCCACCGCCTGGCAGTCGGGGGGGCCTCCTTCCCGGGGGACGGTGGAGGCCGCGGCCCAAAATTGGCGCGAGAAGCTCGTCGGTATGGCCTCAGGGAGGATTCTGAGGTCTTACTTGAAGTGAACAGGAGCGACGCAAATGAAACGGGGCTGACTGCGCCGCGCATCGGCCCCCTCGTCTTCACTGTGGCGTGCCGCGCCAGCGGCCCGCGCAAGCCACCGCGTCAGGTCGCCATGCCATCTCGCGTGAGACCCGCTTCTCTTCGCCGCTCACCTGGAGTGAGCATGGATGGGCCTCCCCAAGCCCCGGGCGCCCTAGAAGCTACCAAACCAAGCCTGTTAGCAGCCCGACATCAGTAGGCCGCTTTAGGGTTTCCTGGCATCGCTCGGGCGTGTGCATTTTTTCCTCGGCGAGGGCCATCGAGGAGCATCCTGGATCATCGAGCCACAAAAACACGCACGAAATCGAAACATGCACGGGGAATGGACGTCCGATGGCAAGGTTTTGAGGCCATCAGAAAACGATCCGAGATCAATGCCTCAGGGAAGGAGCAGCTCTGGGGAGTGCAGAAGCATTGCGTCGGAGGCCTGGGGATGAGGCAGAGCGGAGGATCCCCACGCTGTTGCGGGCCCCCGTGGCCGCGGCCCGCTGCAGTTCGAAAAAGAAGGCATGGCGTCAGGGAGGGCTGTGCGGATTCCCTCTGGACAGCCACGGATGGGCATCCCGGAGGCCCATCCGTGCCTGCTCCAAGCGACTGCATGCCTGCTCGTCGGAGGTTTGGGGAGGCCGTGCTCTGCCTCCCGCCGGTCGGGCCGGGGGCTCTCCGGAGGCACCACCGGGGCTCCTGGCGGGAAGGGGCCGTGCTCCGTCTTGAACTCGGCATCGCTCGGACGTGTGCATTTTTCCTTCGGCGAGGACCATCGAGGAGCATCCTTGATAATTGGCGAAAAAACCACGCACGAATCCAAAAAAAACACAGGGAATGGACGTCCGAGCGATGGCCAGTGAAGACGACAGCCGCCGCCGCCGATGAGGGGGGAGCGCTGCCTCTTCCATAGCCCTCCCGCCCTCTCAGGGGCCCCCCCTTGCTCGTGTCCTGGCCTCTCGCACGGGGCTGGCGCCGACAGGGGGGGGCAGGTTCGCGCCGTATCGCCGATGCATCGGCGACGCAGCTCGATGTGGATCTGGATCTGCTGCACGCCGACGCGGCGCCGGCGCATCACCGACGTCGCCGACGCGGCCCCGTTCGCTCCGGCCCCAGGCAAGGACGCCTCTGCCTTGCCCTGAGAGCCGACGTAGCGACAAAACTGCAGGCTCGTAAACATCACGCCAGCAGCCCTGGACCCCGTCGTTCTGCGTTATTTGTCGAGCCGGATCGATCTGTGAGGGTCCCGGGGCCCGAGAACAGGCGAGAGGCGCCCGGCTCGAAGAAGTAGAGGCGCCCAGAGCTCGGGGTGGGTCCGCCGCCGAGGAGAGGCGGCTGCTCCTGCGGCTGGGCCTCTGCGCGCTGCAGCGGGAGGTCGCGGAGGCCCGCCTGGGCGCGCGGCTGCGCGAGGCCGAGCGGCGCCTCGCGGCGTGCGAGGCCGAGCGGCGCGCGGAGGCGGGCGCTCGCGAGGGGCCGCGGCGGCGCGGCCTCGCGGAGGAGGGCTGCGGCGGCGAGGGCAGCGAGCACCTCCGCGTGGGGCCGCGGCGGGAGGTGCCGCGCGGGCGGGGGCTGCGCACGCTCGCGGCCGCGGAGGCCGCCGCCGTCGCCGTCGTCGTCGTCGCCGTCCTCGCCGTCGCCGTCGCCGTCGCCGTCGCAGTCGCGGTCGTCGTCGTCGTCGTCGTCGTCGTCGTCGTCGTCGTCGTCGTCGTCGTCGTCGTCGTCGTCGTCGTCGTCGTCGTCGGGCCGCGGAGGCGCTGTGGACCGCGGCAGGGCGCGCCATGGACGCGGACGCGCTCGCGGCGCTCTTCGCGCTGTGGCGCCAGGCGGCGGCCGGGGGGGAGCGGCGCCGCCACGCGCAGCTGCGGGGATGCGCCAGGGCCACCGCCCGGCTGCGGGGCGGGCTGCTGCTGGGCGCGGTGGTCGCCTGGCAGGCCGCCTGCGCGGCCCGGAGAGCTGCGGCAGTCCACGCCGTGGGGCTGCGGCGGCGGCGCCAGGCATGCGAGGCTCTAGGCCTTCTAGATGAGGTCCGAGCAGATGGGGTCGGAGGATCGCGCCGTATCGCCGATGCATCGGCGATGCGGCTCGATGTGGGTCCCGATGTGCTTCACGTCGACGTCGCCGATGCATCGCCGACGTCGACGATGCATCGGCAATGTATTGGCGATGCGGCGCGACCCTCCGACCCCATCTATTCAGACACCATCAAGAAGGCCTCTAGAGGCGTGCAGCCTTATTGCGCTCTCGGGCAGAGCCCTGCTGATGCTGGTGGGCGCGTTCGCCTGGTGGCGCCGCGCCCTGTCCGCGGCGCTGCTGGCCCGGATGGCCTCCAGGGCCCGCGGGCTCCAAGAGGCGCGGGACGCCGCCGCGGCGCTCCTGGCCGCGGAACGCTCCCGCGCCCTGCTCGGGGCAGCGTTTGCACAGTGGCGCGCTGCAGAGGCATCGCTGGAGGGAGCCGGCGCACACAAGAGGTCGAGCGGACCCCGACGAGAAGCGGGGGCGGCCAGCCGCGCTCATGTCTGGCTGGCGGCCGTGCTTGTGCAGTGGCACCAGGCCGCGAGAGGGCGGCGGCAAGAGGCGGCGCTGAGGAGAGCCGGCGAAGACGGAAGGTCGCGGGGCCTTCGGGAGGCGCGGGGCTTCGCCGTGGATGTTCTGGTCATCGACCGGCGGCGCTCGCTGCTGGGACTAGTCTGGGCACGATGGCGCGAGTCTTGGCACGCCGCGAAGAGCGCGGCCGCCGAGGCGGCGCTGAGAGGAGCCGGCGAAGGCGGAAGGTCGCTGGGCCTTCGGGAGGCGCGGGGCTTCGCCGTGGATGTTCTGGCCATCGACCGCCGTCGGTCTCTGCTGGAAGTGGCCTGGGCAACGTGGCGCGTGTCTTGGCACGCCACCAAGAGCGCGGTCGCTGGAGCGGCCTTGGAGAGAGCCCGCGCCGCACGCGGCACAGCCATGAGTCTCCTCGCGACCAGCCGTTGCCGCTCTTGGTTGGCGGCGGTGCTCGCGCGGTGGTGGCAGATGTCTCAGGACGCCGCGGCGAACGCAGCAGCAGAAGCAGCATTGGAGAGGGCGCGTGCGGACGGGAGGTCGCGCGGGCTTCAAGAAGCAAGAGCCTGGGCCGCGGGCCTCCTCGCGGCCAGTCACACGCTCTCCCGGTTGGCCTCGGTGTTCACGCAGTGGCGCCACGCGTCTCAGCTGGGCGCGAGGGTCACAGCAACAGAAGCAGAATTGGCTAGAGTCCGTGCAGACAGCCTGTCGAGCGGGCTCAGGGACGCACGAATTGGTGTGGCGAGCTTGCTCGCGGCCAGTTGCGATCGCTCATGGCTGGCGGCAGTGCTCACGAAGTGGTACCTCGCGTCCCAGCTCGCCAAGAGGACCACAGCAGCAGAGGCGGCAGACGCCAGGTCGCACAAGCTTCGAGAGGCATTGGACGTCGCCGCGAGCCATCTTACGACCAGCCGCTCTCGTTTCCACATTGCCGCCGTGTTCGCAGAGTGGCGCCACGCGTCTCAGCTGTGTGCGAAGGTCACAGCAACAGAAGCAGAATTGGCTAGAGTCCGTGCAGACAGCCGGTCGAGCGGGCTCAGGGACGCACGAATTGGTGCCGCAAGCTTGCTCGCGACCAGTTTTGCGATCGCTCATGGCTGGCGGCAGTGCTCACGAAGTGGTACCTCGCGTCCCAGCTCGCCAAGAGGACCACAGCAGCAGAGGCGGCAGACGCCAGGTCGCACAAGCTTCGAGAGGCAGTGGACGTCGCAGCGAGCCATCTTACGACCAGCCGCTCTCGTTTCCACATGGCCGCCGTGTTCGCAGAGTGGCGCCACGCGTCTCAGCTGTGTGCGAAGGTCACAGCAACAGAAGCAGAATTGGCTAGAGTCCGTGCAGACAGCCGGTCGAGCGGGCTCAGGGACGCACGAATTGGTGTGGCGAGCTTGCTCGCGGCCAGTTGCGATCGCTCATGGCTGGCGGCAGTGCTCACGAAGTGGTACCTCGCGTCCCAGCTCGCCAAGAGGACCACAGCAGCAGAGGCGGCAGACGCCAGGTCGCACAAGCTTCGAGAGGCACTTGGACGTCGCAGCGGGCCATCTTACGACCAGCCGCTCTCGTTTCCACATGGCCGCCGTGTTCGCAGAGTGGCGCCACGCGTCTCAGCTGGGCGCGAAGGTCACAGCAACAGAGGCAGAATTGGCTAGAGTCCGTGCAGACAGCCGGTCGAGCGGGCTCAGGGACGCACGAATTGGTGCCGCGAGTTTGCTCGCGGCCAGTTGCGATCGCTCATGGCTGGCGGCAGTGCTCACGAAGTGGTACATCGCGTCCCAGCTCACCAAGAGGACCACAGCAGCAGAGGCGGCAGACGCCAGGTCGCACAAGCTTCGAGAGGCACTGGACGTCGCAGCGGGCCATCTTACGACCAGCCGCTCTCGTTTCCACATTGCCGCCGTGTTCGCAGAGTGGCGCCACGCGTCTCAGCTGGGCGCGAAGGTCACAGCAACAGAAGCAGAATTGGCTAGAGTCCGTGCAGACAGCCGGTCGAGCGGGCTCAGGAACGCACGAATTGGTGCCGCGAGTTTGCTCGCGGCCAGTTGCGATCGCTCATGGCTGGCGGCAGTGCTCACGAAGTGGTACATCGCGTCCCAGCTCACCAAGAGGACCACAGCAGCAGAGGCGGCAGACGCCAGGTCGCACAAGCTTCGAGAGGCACTGGACGTCGCAGCGGGCCATCTTACGACCAGCCGCTCTCGTTTCCACATTGCCGCCGTGTTCGCAGAGTGGCGCCACGCATTCCAGGCTGCTGCGAGGAGCGCGGCATATGAAAAGGCCCTTGAGAGAGCGTGTGCAGACAACAGGTCGCGAGGTTTCCGTGATGGCCGAGAGTGTGCCGCAAATTTCTTGGCAACGAGACTATCGCACTACTGGCTAGCAACAGCATGCATGGAGTGGCACCGTGTTTCACAGCTTGCTGCAACGAGGACAGCCGCAGACTCGTTGGCAGACTCGTTCGCTGCAACGAGGTCAGCCGCACTCCAAAACGCCTACGCGGATGGCAGGATGCATGGGCTGCGAGAAATCAAGGACAACGTCGCGAGAGTATTGGCCAATATTCATTCCCTCTCCTGGGTAGCAGCGGTGTTTGCAGTGTGGTGCCGCGTCTCCCAGCTTGCTTCAAAGAGCGCCGCCGCAGAGGCAGCGTTGAGGACAGCCTGCGCTGAGGCCAGGTCAAGCGGGCTACAAGCAGCACGGGGTATCGCAGCGAGCATCCTGGCGACTAGCTGCGATCGCTCCTGGTTGACATCAGTATTCGTGGAGTGGTGCAGAGTCTCGCAGCTCGCCACAACGAGCGCAGCCATGGGCGCAAAGCTGCAGAGAGCTGGCGCAGACGGCAGGCTACGTGGATCCATAGAGTCTCGAGAGAGAGCTGCGAGCTTGCTGGCAGCAACTCGTTCCCGCTCGTGGTTGGCCGCATTGCTGGCATGTTGGTTCCAGGCATCCAGGCTGGAAGCCCTGATGAGGTGGCGCACCCGCTACTCGCAGGATCTCGCGCTCTGGAAGCAGCTCGCTGGAAAGAGTCAGCACCATAATAGTTTGTTGATGTCCTTCCACGGTTGGCAGCGAGCCACGTCTAAAGCCAAAGTGGACACACTCCGCGGCCGAAGCAAGATCATGCTCTTGGACCGGATGATCTCCCAAATGCAGGAGGGCTTGATGATCGTGTTGGCCTCAGCAGCCCCTTTCTGCTTTACACGCGGGCACACGCCCACCCGCGCTTGCGCAAATAACACCTGCGTGCAGGCGCGGGCGCGGGCAAAGGCGTCTGCGCGTTCAGGCTTAGTCGCGGCCGTGGAATCCGCCAGTGGCGCGGGGGGCGCCTTCGCACACCAGGTGCGCGCGTACGCACGCGCGTGAACACAGGGATCCGCTCGCACGCACACGCAGCGAAAGTTTCAGCACACACGCGCCCGAATCCGCGAGGCAGAGACAGCGCGTTCGCATACACGTACACACTCTTCGACGTTGTCCTTTTTCTCTCTCTCTCTCTCTGTGTTTCTTCTTCTTCATTTATATATAATATATAATATTATATATATATATATATATATATATAATGGATTCCGCACTCACTCTCTCTCTCTCTCTCTCTCTCTCTCTCTCTCTCTCTCACACAGACGCACACACAGACCCACCCGTTATGAATAGTTATGTACTTGCTTATTCAGTGGCATGTACGAGCCCAGGTAGATTTTGAGGTGCCTGTGCATCTACACATACGCACACGCATGTGCGTGCGCGCACAGACCATGCACACACAAGAATGTAGACCCGCATGCGCACGCACGTTTTCAAGTCTTGCCCTTTCGCGTATCCCCAGCACCCCCAGCTGCCCACCCGGCGGTAGGTTCTGATCGCGCGCTCGGTATCGCGCCTTTGCTTGCTTGTCGCTGTATAATTAGGCTCGCGCGTAGCCCGCCCGACCTCTTCGGACGCCGCCTGCGCTTGCGCTTGCGGCCGCGACAAAAAAGTATCCCCAGCACCCTATCCAGAAATGATGCCCAGGCGAGTTGCGTCGACCAGGAGAGTGCAGAAGCAAGCGGTGGAACAAACATGGGGGGCAGCCGCCAAACCGAAGCTCGGGATCCGCTCGAGCAGACCAATGAGTCAACCACAGATGTCTTCGCGGGTCTTTACACATCATTTGGACCATATTGGAAAGAGCGCGTTCTACCGCTGCTGGCGGAAACCGAGGGGGGGTCACTGGGGGGTCCCAACCCATCCCCCCCACCCTCCACGAAAACCGGGGGGGGTCACTGCCGGTTCGAACCCCCCTCCCCCCCCCCAGTCCATCATGAAAAGGGGGGTGTCATTACCGGTTCGAACGCCCCCCCCCGCCGCCTGCTAACGATTCCCGCTCCTCGGGACAATGGGACAGTGGTGGGGACATTGGGACAGTGGTGGGGACGGTGGTGGTGGGGACAGTGGGACAGTGGTGGGGACAGTGGGAACAGTGGGACAGTGGTGGGGACGGTGATGGTGGGGACAGTGGCGAGGGGACAGTGGGACAGTGGTGGGGACAGTGGGACAGTGGTGGGGACGGTAGTGGTGGGGACAGTGGTGAGGGCGGTGGCGAGGACGGTGGTGGGACAATGGGGCAGTGGTACAGTGGGGAGAGTGGTGGGGACAGTGGGGACAGTGGGACAGTGTTGGGGACAGTGGGGAAAGTGGGACAGCACAGTGGGACAGCGGTGGGGACAATGGGACAGTGGTGGGGACAGTGGGGACAGTGGGACAGTGGTGAGGACAGCGGGGACCATGGGGAGATTCGGACCGTGGTGGGGACAGTAGTGGGGACAGTGAAGACAGTGAAACACTGGTGGGGGCACTGGTTGGGAAAGTGGGGGCAATGGTGGGAACAGTGGGGACAGTGGGACAGTGGTGGGACAGTAGGACAGTGGTGGGGACAGTGGTGTGGGGACAGTGGGACAGTGGTGGGGTCAGTGGGGTGCTGGTGGGAACAGTGGTGAGGGCGGTGGTGAGGACGGTGGTGGGACAATGGGACAGTGGTACAGTGGGGTGGGGCCAGTGAGGACAGTGGTGGGAACAGTGGGACAGCTCAGTGGGACAGCGGCGGGGACAGGAGGACAGTGGGGCCAGTGGGGAGAGTGGGACCGTGGTGGGAGCAGAGGTGGGGACAGTGGGGACAGTGCGACAGTGGGGGGGCACTGGTGGGGACAGTGGTGGGGACAATGGGGGCAGTAGGACAGTGGTGGTGGGGACGGTGGTGCGGGGGACAGCGGTGAGGGCGGTGGTGAGGACGGTGGTGGGGACCCGGGAGTCGTTTGCCGGGCTTGCGGTGAGTGGGGGGGGGGTCGAACCGGTAGTGACCCCCCTTGGTTGTTTTTTGGAGGGGGGGGGTGTTCGAACCGGTAGTGACCCCCCCCGGTTTTCCGGAGAAGGGGGGAGAGGGGGGAAGCGGGTTTTGCCGGGGGAAGGGACGGGGGGGTGTTCGAGCAGCGGGGCGGGGGATTTTCGGAGGGGGGGGGGGCCTGGGCGGGTTCTGGAGGAAGAGGGGGGTGAATTTTCCACAGTAAAGCGGCGGTGGACCACGCTCTCTTCAACATTGGAGCCCTCTTGGGGTCAGGAATGCCTTGGGGACCCTCTTGGGGGCGTCTTGCGACGCGCGTCGCTCCCCAGTGCAGCTCGACCACGCCATCTCCGGCGCCCAGTCAGCGCATCCCCGCTGGAAGGCGTTCCTTACAGAAGCCTGGGAAGCCGCCAAACAGTGGAAGATCGCAGAGCCTCCCAAGCTTCGTCCACCGTTGCCTCGCGCACTCTTGCGCGCGGTGGTTGGCCTCTGCTTCATCTTGGACTGGCCACACATGGCCGCCGTGCTGCTGCTGGGTGTCATATGTTCCTGCGTCCTTGGGAACTCACGAAGGCAAGAAGGTGCGACCTTTCCTTGCCGCCGGACCGTTTCGAGCCGACAGGTGACGCCTTTCTGGCCATCGCGGCGCCGAAGACCCGTCGCTCCGACCCCGCTCAGCACGCGAGGTGTTCGGATCTCTGCCGGTGGACCTGTTCGAACATGTTTTTGGACATCTCGTTTCCACCGATCCGCTCGCCCCCTTCGGGGCTAGCGGCTTCCGTAAACGGTGGAACCACTTACTTTCGGCGTTGGGCATTCCGCTCGCCAAAGCCGCCGCTGGGCTGAATTTGACCCCTGGTTGTTTGCGGGGTTCAGGTACTACTGACTTCTACATAGCTACAGAAGACGCCCCTCGCGTCTTCTGGCGTGGTACGTGGCGCCATGCGTCGAGTGCTGAGCGCTACCTCCAAGCTGCTGGTGCATCGACTGTCATTGCGTCTCTCTCTCGGAGGCCGCCAGGGCTCAGGTGCTCTTCTTCGCCTCCGCCAGCAGTCGCTTGCTTACCTCTTTGCTGCTTGCTGGCTGGGTCGTCAGCCTGGCCAGTCCAACTCGCAGCTGCCCGTCAAACCTTGTCACTTCGCGAAGGCTTTGAGCCTGGGCATGGCTGCGCCGCCTTTCGGCGGCCAGGAGCCCCGCTCCTGAGCGCGGCGCATCGGCCCCTTCGCGCCCAGCGGCGGGTCTGCCCCGCCGTCGCGCGCGGAGGCGCCGGCACGCGCACGCGGCGACCGCGCGCTAGGGCGGAGCGAGAGAATTTTTGGCCTCCTGGGCGTTCCTCGTCGCCACCGCTGGATTCGCTTCCAAAACCTGGTCAGGACGCACCCCGGGAGAGGTCCGAGGAGTAGCGGTCTCGGTACTTGTGGGTTTCCCCACGCCAAACCGTTTGATCCCTAAGTAAGACATGTTTACTGCTGCGCTTGGAGAATCAGGAAATTAACAAAAGGACGCAGCGCACATCTTCACAGCACTTCTCCCTTCCGTCCTGTCCCCTCGCACCGAACGGCAGCTGCAGGAATAATTGCCGCAGCAGACTTGCTACGATTACCAGAAGAGCTCAACGAACACATCGAAACAACAAGCATATATATATATATATATATATATATATACACGCATGCCAGCGGGCCAAGCGTTTTCATGTTCGTGCAAAAAAAAATATATACACATGTCCATGTACACGCATGCTCAGGTAATTGAATGCACGGAAACGTGCAAATCGTCCGCATGCATGCGCGCACGACCGTGCACACTGGAGTGCTTTCGTCGTAGTCCTGACAATTTGGGCAGTTTGCGCGCAGGCGGTGAGCCGTCAGCCTGCATGCGCGCACGCATTGCGCCATCCAGGCACTACAGTCGTCTTGGCTCGATCGGTGTCAGCTCCTTTGGCTGGGTTCTCTGGTAGGCGAGCACAGCGAGGGAAAGAATGGCCGACGCGGGCGAGATGCCAAGCGCGGATTTGCCAGACGACATTCCCATGGCTGCCGGCTTGGAGACACAGCCCAGCATCGAGACGTTGACCAGCTATTCTTGGAACATCTTCCGATACATCGGCGATTACTTGCATTTGTTCGGCGTCTTCGTCCTTCTGGCAACGCTCGCCAAGAACAAGTCGTGCAAAGGTATATCGCGGAGCACACAGATCCTCTACTTCTTCGTGTTCATTGCTCGGTACTTGGATCTGTTCGACCACAGCCAGACAGCATACCTAGTCTTTTTCAAGATCACATACATTATTACCTCCTTGATTGTGCTCATCATATTCTGGCAGTTGGACAAGACCTACGAGCGCAACAAGGACACATGCAATCTGGCAGTGATCTTTCTTCCTTGCTCAACTGCCGCAGTTCTGTTGGCCAACGAATACTCGGTGCTGGACATGCTCTGGTCTTTCTCGCAGTTTCTCGAGGGTTTCGCAATGGTGCCACAGTACATCTTCTGCTATCGGGACCGCGGTGCGTCCGACCTGGGTGTGAGCCTCTATGTGATGTCGTTGGGGGGATATCGCGTATTCTACGCAGCCAACTGGATATACAAGAAGATCCAGATGCCCCACTACTCAGACATCCAGTCTTGGATAGGTGGCCTCATTGAGATATTGTTCTTCACGGACTACCTCCTATCCCGGTTCACCGGCTACAGTCTTCTCCGCGCCGTTGTGTTGACAGTCGACGAGAAGATCAACGAAATCTCGGCGGGCCTCGAGAGCAAGGTGTTGGGGCATTCGCGCGTTCAGCGGAGTGCGGGGAACGGCGAGAGCGAGCTGCGGCAGAGGAAGACTAATCAGCAGAGCGAT